CTTTAAAAGAAAAAGCTAAGTATTGGTTCACTTCTCTTGCCCCCCATAGTATTACTACTTGGGAGCAATTAAAAACTAAATTTTTGCAAGAGTTCTACCCTGCTAGTAAAACAACGGAAATAAGAAAAGCGATACAAGATTTTGCACAAAAACCCAATGAAGAATTTCATGATGCATTTGAACGCCTCAAGGAATTGTTGCGTTCATGTCCACATCATGAATTTCCCCGTTGGCAACTTGTACGTTTCTTTTATGATGGAGTTGACACTGCCAATCAAACTATGATTAATGCCTCATCTGGCGGCACTATCATGATGCAAGATAGTGAAGACGCTTGGCGATTCTTGGAGCAGTTGAGTCATGGTTCAAAAACCAATTACTCAGCTAAGAAACGGGACAACCCAGTTTCATCTGCTGCTTCAGTTGGACTAGACAAAAACTGGAAAAATGAAGTCAAATCTGATATTAATTCTTTAAATAAAAAATTTGACTTACTACTCTCTAGTCTAGGCAAAGAGAAAGGTGTGTTTTTTTCGCAGGGACAGAAGATATGTGTAAGCTGTGGAGATTCAGGACACATTGCAGATGAGTGCATGAGAAGTCAAGAGGAAATCAGTCAAGTGCACGGCTATGGTCAATTCCAAAATAATCCACGATCATTCAATCGGAACTACAACCAAGGCGGGAACTACAACAACAATGGGAATTTCAACAACAACAACCGTCAAGGGAATTACCAAAACCAAAATCAGCCAAAACAGTTCCAGCAGTCCAACTTTAACCAAGGTGGAACATCAAAGAAGGAGGAAACGGATGGCAACAAGTTGGACAAAATCATGGAGTTCATAACCCAAACATATCAGAAAGCCGACACTAACTCCAAGTCCATAGCTGCTATCGAGAAGCAAATTGCTCAACTGGCAGAGCAAATTGGGAAAAGAGAAGATGGCAAGTTTCCAAGCACCACAACAGTCAACCCATCTCACACCCAAAGACCCGGAAAAGAGCATCAAGTGAATGAGGTAATCACCTTGCGTAGTGGGAAAAAGGTTGACAACAAGGTAAGTGCTCCTCCTACTTTAGATAATGACAGTGACACTGAGGTCGTTTTTGATGAAAAAGAAGAGTTTGAGAAAGGTTTCAAATCTGAAAAACAAAAAGTAGTTAAGGGTAAAGATGACTCTAAAGTTGGGGAGCATGGTGTGGAGGTTAATACCGCACCATACCCTTCGGCTTTAGAGAAACCGGCATCCTTCCCTTTTGGGAAGCGAGGGCCGAAAATGGAAGACATGTGGGATCTATTTAGTCAAGTTAAAATAAATATCCCGTTAGTCAAACTTATTAAGGAGGTACCTTCTTATGCTAAATTTTTGAAGGATTTGTGTGTTCAAAAACGCAAACTCCAAGCACACCTCCCTAAAAAGATTGACTTAACCGAGCATGCAAGTTCCATAATATCAAATAAACTTCCACCCAAGCTTAAGGATCCCGGAGCACCTTTAATTTCTGTTACCCTAGGTAATATTAATATCAAAAAGGCGCTCCTTGATCTTGGAGCTAGTGTTAATATAATTCCGGGAAATCTTTTTGATCAACATGACTTAGGCACTTTGGAACAAACTGATATTATTTTACGATTGGCCGATAAGTCAACAAAAATTCCCCGGGGTATATTATCCGATGTCATCATTAAAGTGGAAGATTTCTATTACCCAGTTGATTTTCTTGTGCTTGACACCGAGAGCACCTATAAAGAAAGTCAACCTTCTATTATTTTGGGTCGCCCGTTTTTGGCAACAATAAATGCACAAATTAATTGTAGAACGGGTGCCATGGATATCTCTTTTGGAAATAGAAAACTTAGAATTAATATTTTTAATACGTTTCCTAACTCACCATCAGATTATGAATGTTATCGTGTGGATGTGGTTGATGACTTAGTGCATCAATTCACTCCTAAAATCTTACACCCCGATCCGTTGGAGTTTTTTCTTTCTAATGACAGGGACGAAGTTTTAGAGTTGGATGACATCAAGATGGTTGAGGAGGCATTTGAAAATGCTATTGAGCAAGAGAGGCCACCATGGAGTTATCAAGTTGAAAAATTGCCAACAAGTTTTTCGGACCCACTTAAGCCATCTTTGGAGGAGCCACCCACTCTTGAACTTAAAACTCTTCCTTCACATCTTAAATACTCTTTTTTAGGATCTAATGAGAACTTACCAATTATCATATCTTCTGATTTGACAGGTCCACAGGAGGAAGCATTACTGAAGGTGCTTTCCAAGTACAAGGGAGCAATTGGATGGACCATAGCAGACTTGAAGGGAATTAGTCCAGCCACATGTATGCATCGAATCATCACTGAAGCTGGAGCAAAGCCATCCCGAGATGCACAACGAAGGCTCAACCCAAATCTGCGAGAAGTTGTTAAAAAGGAGGTGCTGAAATGGCTTGATGCGGGTATTATCTACCCAATATCTGATAGTGATTGGGTGAGCCCGACACAGACAGTGCCAAAGAAGTCGGGCATTACAGTGGTAGATACAGAAGATGGAGAGAAGATCTCAACAAGACCGGTCACCGGATGGAGAGTTTGCATCGATTATCGCAAGCTCAATGCTGCAACATCAAAGGACCATTTCCCTCTCCCTTTTATTGATCAGATTATTGAAAAATTGTCCGGGAAAAAGTTTTATTGCTTTTTGGATGGATACTCGGGGTATAATCAAATTGCCATCCACCCCGAGGATCAATCCAAAACCACATTCACGTGTCCCTATGGCACCTTTGCTTTCCGAAGGATGCCATTTGGCTTGTGTAATGCCCCCGCCACATTCCAAAGATGTATGATGGCTATTTTTTCAGACATGGTGGGGGACTCATTAGAAATTTTCATGGATGATTTTTCTATTTTTGGATCATCTTTTGAGACATGCTTAGACCAATTAGAAAAAGTTTTAAAACGTTGTATCGAGTCTAATCTAGTTTTAAGTTGGGAGAAGAGTCATTTCATGGTAAATGAGGGAATCGTACTTGGTCATGTTGTCTCCGAGCGTGGTTTTGAAGTCGACCGGGCCAAAGTACAAATTATTTCTACTCTTCCCCCTCCCACTTCGGTAAAAGGCGTCCGTTCTTTTCTTGGGCATGCCGGCTTTTATCGAAGATTTATCAAGGATTTTAGTGCAATCTCAAAATCTCTTTGTAATTTACTTTTAAAAGACGCACCATTTTCCTTTGATAAAGCATGCCTCGAATCTTTTACCACATTAAAGAACAAACTTGTTGAAGCCCCTATCTTGCAATCACCCGATTGGACTTTACCTTTCGAAATTATGTGTGATGCGAGTGATTACGCGGTAGGGGCAGTTTTGGGACAACGGGTGAATAAAAAACCCGTTGCAATTTGTTATGCGAGCAAAACTTTTTTTGGATGCACAATTGAATTACACTACTACCGAAAAAGAGTTGCTTGCGGTCGTGTTTGCACTTGACAAATTTAGATCTTACATATGGGGATCTAAAGTTGTAATTTTTACCGACCATAGTGCCATTCGCCACCTCTTGGAAAAGAAGGATGCCAAACCACGTCTCATAAGATGGATCCTTCTTCTTCAAGAGTTTGATCTTGAAATTCGGGACAAAAGGGTTCCGAAAATGTTGTGGCGGATCATTTATCTAGAATAATTAATAATGATAACTCAACGGAAGTTATTCAAGAAAACTTTCCGGATGAGCATATTCTTGCTGTCAAAACTATACCATGGTTTGCTAATTTAGTGAATTACTTTGTGACAGGGGAAACTCCATCATATTGGACGGCTCAACAAAGGAGGTTCTTCCACTCTCAAACAAAATACTACATATGGGAGGACCCGGATCTTTTCAAAATTGGAGCGGATCAAGTGATTAGGAGATGTGTACCACTTACGGAGCAAGAAGACATTCTTCGACACTGCCATTCATATGCATGTGGAGGGCATTTTAGTGCCAAAAAGACAGGGCACCGGGTTCTACAAAGCGGTTTTTTCTGGCCCTCTATTTTTAAAGATGCACATACATTCGTTAAAGCTTGTATTCGTTGCCAACAAGTTGGGGGGATCTCACGACGGGACATGATGCCAATGACCCCAATTTTAGTAGTTGAAATTTTTGATGTATGGGGCATTGATTTCATGGGCCCGTTCCCCGTTTCTTTTGGCAATCTATACATTCTTGTAGTCGTTGATTATGTATCAAAATGGGTCGAAGCCGAGGCAACACGCACGAATGACCATAGTGTTGTTTGTAAATTTGTCAAAAAGAACATCTTTTCTAGACATGGAATCCCTCGAACTATTATTAGTGACGGGGGCTCCCATTTTAAAAATTGGCATTTTGCAAAGTTACTTAAACACTATGGTGTCACACATAGGATAGCTACTCCATATCACCCACAAACAAGTGGACAAGTAGAAGTGTCAAATAGGGAAATAAAACGAATCTTGGAAAAGACTGTTCGTCCCGACCGAAAAGATTGGTCATTAAGATTAGATGATGCATTATGGGCATATCGAACAGCCTATAAGACGCCCATTGGCATGTCCCCGTATCGGCTTGTTTATGGAAAGTCGTGTCATCTCCCGGTGGAGTTGGAACACCGTGCCATGTGGGCCATAAAAAATGCTAACTTTGAATTGAGTGATGCAGGTACGGAAAGGAAACTCCAACTTGTTGAATTGGAAGAGATTCGAAAAGAAGCTTACGAAAGCTCAAAAATCTATAAAGAAAAGACGAAAGCATTTCACGATCGACACATTGTCCGGAAACAATTCTTTGAAGGACAATTGGTGTGGCTATTTAACTCTCGTCTCAAACTCTTCCCCGGAAAGCTTCGGAGTAAATGGAGTGGACCATTTGTGGTGACAAATGTGGCAGATCACGGTGCCATTGAAATCAAGGACACGAAAGGCGGTGAACCATTCAAGGTAAACGGACAAAGACTCAAACCATACATTCGAATGGTAGATGGTGAAACGACACTCGTTGAGAAAACAACGCTCGAGGTACCTCAATATTCAGATGCAACTTAGTCGAGGTAAACCGTCCGGCTGAAGACGTAAAACTTAGCGCTTTTCGGGAGGCAACCCGCGGTTTGGTGTGTTTTTACTTTTATTTTTCGTTTTGTGTGTTTTAATTTTTTGTATCGAGGACGATCCAAGGTTTAAAGTTGGGGAGGGGGTATTTAATTTTAATTTTTGATTAAAATTAAAAATTTCTTGAAAAATACCCGAAAAACGTTCCCGAACAGTCAGAAACGCAAAAAACAGCAAAGAAATAAAACAATAGCAGCTTCAGGCGTCCTAGGAGACGTCTTAGATGCCGTCTAAGACGTCGTCGGGCTGCTGTTTCTTTACCTCCAGCGAACTTCCAAGCGAAATTACCAAAATACCCTTGTTTTGTGAGAGACGTCCTAGGACGCGTCTAAGACGCCGCCTAAGACGCCAACGCGTTTTTGGCCGTTATTGATGCGTTTTAGAGCTGTTTCCTGCACCTTCTTCCCCCACTTCTTTTTCTAAACTGCCATGGCCGAGAATAGCTTCTAAAAAACCAATTTTTCTTGATTTCTTCATCAAATCTCAACCAAAACTCTTGATTTTTGTTGCATTCTTCAAGAAATCAAGTAAGAAACATCACATTGCAAGATTTACACACTCTAATCACTTATTTGGGGCCGATTTCAAAACCCACAAAAACTAGGGCTTTAAATTTTCGACTTATTTTCGGGTTTTTGCTTCAAGTAATTGCTTCTTCTTCACTAGAAACATCATCTCAACAAGGTATGTGCTTCAAAACTTCATCTTTTAAGCTAATTTCGAATTTCTCCTGTATGTTCATATATGGTAGAAATTTTGAAATTTACTTGAAAATATGACATATAATGGTGTGAAATCTTATGGATAAATGTTTGTTGTTGCTGGACATATGTTGCAAACAAGTTGCATGTGTCATCTGTGAATTTTTCTGGAAATTGAATTTTTTTGTTAATTTAAAAAAAAAAAAAAAACACACATATAATTTTGGAAAATCATTGTTATGTTTACATTTGTGCTTAGATTAAAATTCAAGTTTTTAGGAAATTTTTAGAATGACACTGCATTATTAGTTTGAATATTTACTTGTTATAGTTCTGTTTTGGTTTCAGTTAGAACTTGTCAGTTTCAGTTAAACTTGGGTTTATCTGTGTTTTACTGATTGGATAAATTTTTGAAAAATATTTAGTTACTGAAAACATAACAGGACTTAAAACAATTATTTATTTAGACTGAATTTATTTTAACTTTGTTTGGAACAACTTGCCAACTGGATTATTGTTTTATTTTTGTGACATTTGATATGTTTAATGGCAAGTTTTGTTTTGTGGTTTTGTGTGTGGTTGATTTTGCAGATGTCAGCAAAGAGATCAAGGGTAGCATCGTCAAGCAGTGCAGCCAGACAACCAGCTAGACAGCCGGAGCCGAATGTACCTGTGGCTTTTGACCCACAGTACCAGACATTGCATGAGCATCCAATGACATTCGCCCGGCAGTTTATGAGGCGACTCATCCGATTACGGGTTTTATTGTAGAGTACATGGTGGAGCGACCGAGCTTCACTGGGTACAATATTGTGGAGACGTTTGATCGCTATGGATGGGTGGAGCGCTGGACTTCAATCCCACGCAGATTTATGTTGATATAGTGCGGGAATGGATGAGGACACTTCGACGTGTCGAGGTGCCTGGTAGGCCGGAGGAGTTGCAGCTAATTGGTACGGTTCGTACTCATGATATAGTGATGACTGTGCAGGGTATTCGGGACATGTTTCATGTAGATACTGGATATCATCTGCATGATCTTGAGAATCAGCCGACTGAGTATAGATGTATTGACACGAGGGGGGTAACCCTGGGGTTAGTATGACAGAAGTATACCGCACAGTATTCCGTGAGGGGACGAGGGCATACGACAGGTTCCGAGAGTTGGTGCCTTTAGCAAAAGCATTGCATAACATTATCACGGAAAATGTGAACCCGAGGAATAGTGATCCCAGGGCGGTGAGGACACAGGATTTATATGTATTATATGGATTGATGACAGGATCCATCTTTATTTCTTATGCATATAATGCTATGTGCAACATATGGTCCTGTTTTGATATCCAGCACAGAGTCACCACCCCCCATGTTGCCCTGATATCGACATATGTGACTAGGGAGCTGGGGAATAGGATCAGGGTCCCACGAGCTACATCATACCCGCGTATCCTTCGCCCTACTGCTACTTCTTTCAGACACATCTCATTTCAAATTATAAATGGGAGACATACTCTAGTGGATTCTGTCACAAATCTGACATACACGGCACCACTCGGAGTGGGGGATGAGGAGCCATTCGTTGGTGATTTTCAGGGGGATCATCAGCAGCAACAGGGACAAGCAGCAGGTCAGGGATGGAACATGCAGGCAGCTTGGGAGGACTTTGTGGGGAGACAAAACACGCATAACCAGGAGGTGCAGGCTTGGATGGGGAGAACAGATATATGGATGGAGGGTGTCGACACGACACTGGCTGACCTTACTGAGCAGATGCGACAGGTTGGCATTACAGCTAGCAACACTTATAGTGTTGCCACTCGTCAGCTGTACCAGCAGGAGTACTATGCAGATGCCGCCTACAGACAGAGTCGTGTCCAGTATGAACTGATGGACATTGATCAGCCACAGTATCGATACCGAGCTCCAGCTCCGGTCTTCTACCGATCCGGGGATCCGAGCAACTATCCACCGCCATCCGAGTATGAGCATTATCAACCACCACCAGCTACAGAGGACTCTACTCGCTTTGAGGATTTAGCTGGATCGATCTTTGGGTATCCTCCACCGTACCCACGATATCCTCCACAGCCGCCCCCGCCGTGAACTTTGGTGAGATCCTCTTTTGATTTTTATTTTTATGGTTGTGTGATGAAGACTTTTTCTTTTTCTTTTCATTTTTATTTTGATTTTCATGTCTTTATTTGGGATGAATGTACTGCTATTAAACTCATTATTATTATTATTCTCTCTTGGGTTGGCGACCATGAAATATGTGATGAGTTAGTAGCTTCTCTATATATTGAATGTAATTCATCAAGATGGAAAATGATAGGAGTTTCGTATATCGAGTCATAATATATATTAAATATTGATTTTGTGGGTTGCTCAGCCGGTTTTGGAATATTTATATTTATTTAAAAAAAAATTGTTATGTGAAATACCCAAGTGTTTAAAAAATGAAGGTTTTTGGCTCGAGCCTACGATCTTTCAATTAAGGACCCAACCGAACAATATGTGTCATCACGCTCTGAGTACTTGGTCTTACTTACTCCTATGCCTTTGGGGATGGGAGGGGACTATTATTGTTTTCACACAACCAAAAAGCATCATAAGACATTGAAGAACTTCAAAGTATATATATTCAAGCTAAAGTCAAATACAAAGATGATCAAATCCGATGAAGCATCAAAGAACTTGAAGAATGCACAATCAAGACAAATATGAAGAAAAGTTCAAGTTGAAGATATTGTGTGAAACAATATGTGACCCCTCGATAGCGGGAGTGTATGGGTTGGTCCATTAAGTGTTACCGACCGCGCTAACTATGTTAGTGAACCTTGAAAAGGGGACTTTGGCAATGAGTTCAACTGATTACTCATGAGGTTGATTATTGGAAAGGGTTCAAAAAGTGAAGGGTTTCAAACAACAAAGTAAAATAAGCATAACATGTGTTTTGAGTTTAAAAGTCCGCATATGAAACTAATAATCCCCAAAATCAATATATTGTGCTTATTAAATATTGTGATAAAATGTACGGAATTCGTGATTCCATTGAGTTTTTCTTAGGATAAGAGAGTAAGACTACACTGATTATTTCAGGCCAATCTCGGGACGAGTTTGGAATAAAGTTGGGGAGGTTTGATAAGTCCATTTTATGAATGTACTAAATTGTCATAAATCTGTTGAATTGATGTATAATTGTCCAAGAATGGCACTACTTTGATGAGTTGTTGAACTTCATATGAAGGTCAATATATTGTACTAAAAGTGGGCGGAACCTGCAAGTAAAACGGATTGCTAAAGGAATGATGAAACGTTGCTGGGAAAAATGACCATGCTTCAATGTTTTGGTCATATCTCAAGTTCTGGAGCTCCGATTGACATGAGTAAAGAATTTCTGGAAACTAGACAAGATTTACTACAACTTTCGTGTTTTGTGTTTCTGCTAGTTATGTCGTTTTGACCACCAAAACTTGCACGGAAGATGAAGGACGCCTCCAGGCGTCTAAGACGTCCCCTAGGACGTTCAGGTCAAACGGTCAACATTTCGTCGTTATTTCAAAGCAGAAAAGAAGGAAGAACCCCGTCGACGTCTTACATGGCGTCTAAGACGACCCCTAGGACGTTTTGGCGTTTTAGGGACGTCCCGTGTTGGAACGGTGTGTTTCGGAAAGTTTGGAAATCAAGGAAGGGCGTCCTAGAACGCGTCTAAGACGTCTCCTAAGACGTCGGACGTTTTTGGCCATTTTTTAGTGTATTTCAAGGACGGCAGAAGACATGTTAGGACGTACAAAGAACGCTTGGGCGTTATACACAACGTCTAAGACGTCTCCTAGGACGTCCAACGTCCCACATCGCCTAATTTCACTCTTTTCTGTCAAATAATATAAATAGGGACTTGTGCATTCGTTTTGAGGGTTACCACCTGCGATTTTCAGAGTTTTTCCTGCGTTTTTAAGGCTTCTAAAACCCTTGGAAACATTTGGAAACACAAGTCCATTCCATTTCAATCCGGATTCAAGGCAAGATTCGATTCAATTCATCATCAAGCTATAAGTGAAGATCGTTTCATTGGTTAATCTTCATCAATTCTTTATTTTCCAGAATTATTTCTTCTTCCCCAAGGTTTATTTGTTCTATACTTTGATAATCATTAGGCTACATTTGTTTGATGATTCTACGTTTGTTTATGAATTCTATTATGCATTTTATTCATTTTAATCAAGTTATTTGTTTTATGAACTCAATGGAAGGCTAAACCGTTAGGGTTACTTCCGGGGATGTTTATGACTTTTGGATGAACACACTTGATTATTACTTGATTCTAATTAATTTCAATTGTTATTTTATGCTTCATATGATGATCTTTGGTAATGATAAGTGAAATTGGGTTGTATGAATTGTTTGATGTCATAATTAAGATAGTCTATTGTCAATTCATCATTTGTTCCAAGTTCAATTAGTTTAGAAATAAAGACAAGTGATTGAATCAACATATATTATTCCAACTTATGATATTGAATGTTAATGCGGTAATAGGTAGTTGTAAGACATTTTATTGCTAGTTCACTAATTGTCCCTAATCCATTTAGACATAAATGAGTAAGACAACTAGTTGAATGAACATCTAGTGTACCCAAAACTATGTGTTACAAGTTAATCAACCCCAATTGCATCTATGTAATTGAATTAGGATTCTAGGGAAGAAAGTGTGTGAATCTAAACTGTCCATAACTGAACCGGGAGTACTCTAGTTTTCTCATTGAGACTTTTACTTTTAATTAATAAATTTCCAAGCTTTTGTTTGAATTTTGTTTTAATCTTTTTCGTGACAATTGCTAGTAATACTTTTCTTTTTATTGATTGCTTTGACACAAAGTTTAACCACGAACTCCTCGTGGATTCGACCCTTACTTACCCTAGCTATCTAGTGTGTGTGTGAGGTTTATTTTTGACCGAGATAACGACCTCGATCAAAATTTGGCGCCGTTGCCGGGGAGATTGTGCGCTTGAGCTATTGTGTTTAAGTAGTTATAGTTCTTTTTACTTTCATTTCAATTCTCGTTTGCAGTTCACGTTTGTTTTATTTGTGTTGTGCAAGCACACCAGTGCATGCATACAAGACATAGCGGACGCTCTTCACCACTTGCATTTGATCCGGAAATCGAACGAACAACTCTCTCAAATCGGGTCGCCAGAAGGAACATCAACACTATGAGTGTAGATAACATTGTCGTGGAAGATGTGGTCGAGGGGCATGAGGATGCAGCCAACAATCCTCTACCACTAGTTCCACCACCAGCTCCTCAATTCCCAAACAACAACAATGGAAACAATGGGAATCATGGGAATAACAACAATGGGGGTGCACCAATTATCCAACCAGTACAGCCACAACCGAATAGAAACAACCGTGGCCAAAATGGTGGAAACGGAGGAAATTGGGCACAAAATACAGGAGGCAATGTAGGAAACCACAACGGTGGTAATGTCAGAAATCAGAATCAAAATCCTAGAAATGTTGGTCCTCAATTCGGTAATGGTGGTAACGAGGATGACTGGGATTTTGATGATGGAAGTGATAATGGACTTGGTTGGAATCAGAACCACAACGGTGGTAATAGGCGGAATCAAGGCAATCGGGGTGGAAACGGGAACTACAACAATAACTGGAACAACCAGAATTTTCCCAATGGTGGCAACAATGACTACAACGATGGGTTCGGAAATCAAGGCTTTGGGAATCAATATCGAAGGAATCCAAATGGTGG